AGCGGAAACCGTGGTTTAGGTTGGTCAATATGTTGTAGTGTTCAAGTTGGTTCATGATGAGGCGACATATTATGTGTTCTAGAATTTTGCATGGTACGGAGGTCAGGGATATTGGGCGGTAGTTTTCTGGGTTATTTCGGTCCCCTTTCTTGTAGGCACTAGTGATATTTACATCAAGCCACTCTAGCGGGAGTTTGCCTGAGTCAAGCGACTTTTGGAAAATGCAGGTTAAGGTTGGGGCAATGTTGTCAGCCAGGGTCTTCAGGACAATGTCCTGGTTACAGTCTGGTCCGGGCGCTTTATTGGGCGTCAGATTTTTGAGAAGTTTGGCTACTCCTGGTTCAGTAATGTTGAGGGGGCCTATTGTACCAGGTATAGGGATGGTATGACTGTGCTGGAAATTTTGGTGAAGACGGATTGAAACTGCTTTAGGAGAATTTCTGCTTTGCGTTGGCTATCGCTTATAAGTTGTCTAGTAGGAGGGCTACGCCAAAGTTGTCTTGCTTCTTGGATTTTATGTAGCGCCAGAAGGGTTTTGTGTTGTTGTTTTCGGGGCCTTCTTGAATGACTCCATTTATGTACTGCCACTCTCCTCCTCTTAGTTCCCTACGACAATGATTTTGGAACTGGCGGTATAGGTTCCAGCTGTTTGTAGATTGGGCTTTCTTCAACAGTCTTTTCTTTCTCTCCAGCAGCTTCTTGAGTCGTGTGTTCAGCCATGGATTCTTTGCTGTCGCTGATGGGACATTTTGATCACTGCTGTTGGGTAACGCATTTTTAAAGGTTGACCATAGTGTATCTACATCTTTTACTTCGTTGTAATTTTTTAGGGTGGCCTGTTTGGCAACAGCGAGATCTAGGTTGATCTTGTCCCATTTTGATTTATCGAACTTATAAGATTTCCTGGGTCTCTGGTACGTTATTTGAGCTTTGGAGTAGAAGTCAACCACCACTGCGTCATGGTCGGAAATACCTGGGACACACGTAGATTGTTTAACAAGGGTGGGGTTGGACGTGAAGATTAGATCTAGTATGCTGTTTTGACGTGTTGGTGTCCTCTGCACTTGAGTGAGTAGTGAGGATGAGGTTAAGTCGACTAGTGATTGCTGAATCGTATTGTCTTTGCCGGTGGAGTGGGCAGTATGCGTGGTCTAGTCTATATCGGGGCAGTTGAAGTTGAAGTCACCGGCGACGATGATGTCACGTGGGTACTTACCGTTGGCTGTAAGAATGTTGATGGATTTTTGGAGTTCCTGGACGTAAGCCGAAGCCTTACTTATCGTTGTTCGCACATATTCACATATCGATCTTTTTATTCTTTTTGTTGTTGTTGTTGCAAATTCATAAATTTTAAGACTAAAATAACACTGTATTGAAATACCTTTACATCAAGATCAAGGACTAAAATTCTTGCCAGTATAAAACATAACCAGTCTATGTTCAAATTATATTTCATTATAAAGCATTTCTTTTATGTAGGGCTATGTGTTAATTATAAACTGTATGATTATTTTAGGCTTTAAAAATATTTTGATTAGCATAATTATAAATTTACTCGATTCCATGAGTGTTGAGTTTTATAAAAAGGAAACTTAAAAAAGTGAAAGATTTTTTATTATTATTAAGAACTTAACGGGCGCATACAAATAGTGCAAATTTCATTAATTATTATATAAAAAAAAAAAAGGTTTGTGTTTTCTTTAAACGTGCTACGTTTGTAAAGTTTCCTGAATAACAGAGGTAAACAAAAATATTTATCCAATATTCATTTAATTCCCAACAGGTTTTTTATCCTTTTAATGTTAGAATAATAAACAACATTGCTCCATCTGTTCGAAAGGACTTTAAAAAAAAAATAATATTTTTTCAGGATGATAATCTATCAGAAAGCTAAAATAAAGAAAATGAACCAGCATTTCAATTATCATGCCAATTCCATTTTTTAAAATTGGTTATTGTTTTAGAACACATTTGTATTCCTAGTTTGTCAATGTAAAATAAATTATGTGGGTTTAAGGGGCAAAAAGATGTTAACGTATATCTAAGTAGCAGTTTTCAATCTATCTGAAAAAAGTTATAATAGTTTGAAAATTTACAAAATCAAACAATTCAAAAATTTGAAAATTTCTACTATTTTTAAAAAAACAACTCAAGTCTTCTTTACATATTTTTTTTTTTCATTTACGTTTAACATATATAATGATGTTAGCAGTGAATTTTTGTGATGGAACATTTTTTTCTCCATTTATTAACTATGTACCTAACCCCCAAAGAGGTTTAAAATTAAAAAAAAAAAAAAAAAAAAAACCCACATACTAATTAATAAAAAAAATATTAAAAAAAAAAAAAAAAAATTTTTTTCTCCATTTATTAACTATGTACCTAAGCCCCAAAGAGGTTTAAAATTAAAAAAAAAAAAAAAAATGAAAGCCGCATTGCTATTTAGTAATAGACTGTTTAAAAAAAGAAAAAAGATATTTGCATAACACAGCTACGTCACGCAGAGTTGTCACTTGACTTTTCACGACGCCTTTTGCCACTTTTCAGTTTTGTCCTCCCTCACCTTGCATTGAAAGAATATAAGTAAGGAAATATCCACAACACATCTTTAAGGCATAAAATATCAAAGGTCCACTGCAGTCGTAATGGTTGCTGGGCGCACGCAATGTTTCTAAGGTTAAGTGACACCTACATTTTTTAAAACTAACATTTCTACCGTTGCTCTCTGAGTGTAGAATGTTGCAAAAATAAATTGAAGTATTTGCTAAGATGCATTCATTTATTTTGAATTTATCAAAAAATTTTCTGAAGACTATAAAGATTTAATAGACGATATTAAGCTAGGGAAATTGTAAATCCACAAGGACGCCACAATTGAAAAGTATTTAGTTCATGTTGGTCTGGAGCAAATCAAAGATATTCCTAGTAATGACTAATTTTAGCGTTTCGCACAGGAAAGTCTAAAATCCCCCCTCAAAATTGTCTGAATGAAACATAAAATTCAAGTATACGCCAAAATCCACCCTGCAGTTTGAATTTGTACGACTGTCTTCAGCACCCTCAATTTCTACACCTCTTCCCCCACGCCATTCGATGTTACAGTATAGGGTTGAATATAAGCTTGAGCCAGATGATTACCCTAGGGCACGCCACAACCTGGGTGAATTCAGTTTATGTATGGCACTGAATGTCATAATGTCTCCCTCTGACGATTGAAAAATGCTTTCCACATATCCTATAGTCTAAGAGAAACACCGAATTCAGGTATACTCCAAAATGCACTTTTTGATTTTGAAATAATCCAAAATTTTCTGGGGAGAGGCTCCCCAGACCCCCCCCCCTCACAAAATCCAACAGTTCTATCAATTTATGCCCTTCTTCCCTAAAAAATTGACAGTTCATATGGCACTGGTCATAATTTTTGGTGATGATAGATACACAACCTAGTCGAGTAGCGAGTGTTAAAGTGTTAGTGCTGATAGATACGAAAACTAAGTGGAGTGGCTAATTTTAGTGTTGAAAGATATACACAACCAAGTGGAGTAGCTAGTGTAGGTGCTACCTTAGTCTTGACAAGACTTATGGCGCGCACCAATTAACGATACAAACTCTGCACTTGTCATAAAATCCCGTCCCTTATTATAAAGAAAAAGGGACATCTGGGCTGACCACCCAACCCACATCACTTGCAGATTCGTATCTAGAGTGTTTGGCGCCAGGGGACATAAATTAATTTTCACGCCCCCCTCCTCAAGTCTGAAAACCATTATTTTGATGCATTAAATACCAAGACACCCCATATTGGCGTCCCCACTAGTACGGTCCATGGGGATATCTGTCCCCTCCTTCCCCTTTAGCTACGCCTTTGGCCACTGTCCGCCCCGCCCCCGAAGATCTGAAAAGCCCCCCTCCCCACCCCGTGGGGGGGGGGGAAATTGTCTGAAAGAAACACTGACAGTGACATTGCCAGTCAAGAGAATTTATGTCAAAATTTGGAGACGCGAGTCATAGAATTAGGTCTACCATGTGAAGTGGGGATGGAACGAAAAATGGTGGTGGGGGTGATCTTAGTAAATGTTCTAGAGCTGGGATTCTTAACATTTTTTTGTAGCCCTGCACCCCCTCTCAATTTCAACCTCCCCCCTTTTTGTGTGCATTAATTATATTGTAATGATATGTAAAAAAAAAAAAATAATTAACTTGTATAGTTGTTATAGTGTAATTTCTCTAATTAACTTTCTAGAAACAAAATTACCAATACCAGTAATGCACAAACAAAATTCACCAGAAAAAAAATTTACTGCAGCTATACAAAATGCATTAAAACTGATTTTTGTAAAGGCAGTGACAACAAGCAATGGCAGTAAGTACGATTTTGTGGGTATTTCGCGCCTCAGTTTAAGAGTTACCGTTTTATTGAAATGTTCCTGACACAGGTACAACGGTACAGTAATTCGACTAACATGGGAGGTGAATTTTTAAGGGTTTGTAAAGGAATGTAGCGGACGGAGTCAAAAAAAATTTAATGGGGGTTTTGTTGGGGGGGGGGGTGAAGAGATTTGTGACGATATATTTTACTCACGTGTTGGGGTTGGGGGATTACTCACGTGTTGAGGTTGGGGGCATTGGGGGGTGGGGTCTTACCATGTGACGAGTGATAAGGTGAAAAAAATGGGAGGGGGGGGGGGTAAAAAAAATTGGAAAAAATTGTGTGACGTCATTTATTGATGACCCCTCAGTCTTAGGGCTACTTCCATAGACACTCTTGGACAGGACAAATAAATTAAACTGAGGCAGAGAGTGAGATTTAACTTGGACAAAACTGAAAACCATTCGGGACATGACTCGTGACTGGAAAAAACAACAACATTGACTTAAATGTCGAAACTAATATTGTCCGTCCCTTAACGGCTTATTTAATGTCTTTAAAAATTAAAATTGTTTCTTTACTATCTGGTAATTTTTTAAGTATAAATCGCCTTTTACATAATTATCTTAACCACCGAATGTCTGGTGCACTGTCTGTTGACCCGAGAAAAAGGACACACTCGCTGTCTGAGTGATAATCATAATGTCTGTCTGATTCTCTATCTGATATTCGTATCGAAATATTATGTTGTATTTAATATTTTATTTTCTACCCGCAGACTGCAGAACAGTATAAAGTACATGGTGGGCCAATAAAAGTGAGATATCTCATAGCTTATGAGTTGTTTCAAAGAATAATTGTAATTCTTCATGGAATTTTTTCTTTGCAAAATATTTAGCTAACCAGAAATCATGTTCAATGTGTCCTCCTTGCTTCTCAACTATTTAAATTTAAGCTAGTATGAGTATAGTTAAACTAAATTTGATGTGATTAAATCACATTTACGAGATGTTCTCACTTTTATTGGCCCACCCTGTAGAGATTTAGAAGATTTAAATCCAGTCTAACTAACTTAAACTATGTTTAGGGGTGGGCCTAGCCTACTGACTGCTGCTATATAATAAAATTAAAACTAAAGAGGCTTACTAAATACTATACTTAACAACTTATAGTCATAGTGCTAGCATTACTGGACTAGTAGTGGCCAGCTTTAAAATTAATTTTAAAATAAGGGATTACCTAGAATCTACAAAAATCATCACTGTGGCGGCCGCTACAATAATAAGACAAATTCAAATACTTTTACTATACTGCCTTAAGAAAATAAACCTCCCATGGATATAAATTAATACACCCAGGTCAGAAACATTTCCCTGGAACAGTGGTTCTTAACCATCTGTCAAAAAACCTCCTGAGGTGCAGAAGACCTAAGAAATTGTATTTTCTGCCATTGATAGTTGTTGCCGCCTTAAAAAAAATCAGTTTTATTCACCTTGATTAGCAGCAATAAATATTTTGAAATTGAGAGGGATGCAGTGTTGCCATTGGTTTAAGTTTTCCTGCCCTAGAACATTTACTAAGACCACCCACCCCCACCCCTATCAACCATTTTTAGTTCTATGCCACTTTAGTGTTATCCCTAATTCTGTGACTTCTGTTTCCACATTTTGACATAAATTCTGACAGCTGTGACATACCATTGCTTAAACCCCCCTCACACGTCATCACACAAATGTGACTCTCTCCTCCCCACTTGATGCATGACGTGATTTATGGATGGCCCCTATAGCCTAGTATACAGTAAATCAGACAAACTCTACAGAAGTGCCAATGAAGTGACTAAGAAAAAAAAAACATCACTGAGACTCTATCTTCAACCATTTAATTTCATATAATAATAATATTAAATTTAAAATTAAAGTTGATACATGTAGACCTTATTAAATTTAAAAAAAAAATAAAAAAGTAAAATACATATAATTTATTCAAGCTTGAATTCAATTGATTTATTTTGACTAACACTAAATCCATTTACTTATATAATTTTTAGAAAAATATGAGAAAAGTGCTTCAACAGTCACAACATCTCATCAATTTTTGATACCGTACCCTAGAAATAGAACAGTTTTAACAAAATATTGATGATGGAACAGCCAATTACAGAACTCAGCAACCCACTTTCATATAACATTGATAAAGCATCACCTAAAGGTCAGCACAATCAAAAATATTTTAGAAGACATTTTTCATTAGAGATCTGCTAAACTTATGATATACAGTAATTTGAAGTATTTTTAAAGGGTCTAGTTCAGAAAGAGATGAGCTTTGAATTTATTTCGATTAATGATTTAAGTGAGGTTCTAAGACACTCATGTCTTGAAGATCTCAAGTACAAATGTTTTATTATCATTAATAATAATATCATAACTTATCAACAGCGGGCCTACTTCTTTTTACTGGCCACTTTCCTATAACTGCAGTTCCGTTAGTTAAGGAACTAATAAATAAGTCTGATTGGATACTTATATCCAAAGTAATTTTTTGCTTTTTAAATTACATTGCTACGTGAAGTTAACTTCATTTAAAAATATGATTCCTATTTATATTTTAATTTATTATCTTTTGTATCAGAAATAGCAGAAATCTTGTATGCTTGTGACCTGGAGATTTTTTACGGATGGAATGAAACCAAGGTATTAAAAAATGCCATTCTAGAACACGAACAAATAAAATATAAAACCATGCTATATATAATACAATCATAATTTTATATTTCAATATATGAGTATTTATATCAAGAATAAGCTGTTGTTTTTCATGTTAGGTTAATGAATTAATCATCGGTATACAACTGCTGTCACCAGGGCCATGCAGATGATTTTTGAGCCATGAGGAAATTCAAATTTTAGGCCTGAAGAAATTTTTGAAATATTTTTATTAAACATATCAAATAATGCCCTTGATGACCCCCAAGTGGGCTTGGTACTGATTGATTTACTGGATTGCCTCCATCTCTGCACAGCCCTCGCTGTCACCATGTGAAATGTGCTGTTACCATAAATGCCCTGTTGGAGCTTCTTCCAAAAATAGAACCTCATATGGAGCTCCAATTATCATTTATCAAAAGTGATTTTCAGATCTCCAGCACCTTTTGCCAATGTTCACATGCCACGGTGCTGAAATTAAAGGCTAAAGTAGCATGGATACAAGCGCTATATAAATATTCAATTCAATTCAATGAACTCATAACATATTAACTAAATAATTTTTTAAAAACATTCTTGTGCTAACTTGTGAATAGTGTGAATCATTAAAATTTTTGGTACAATATTTAATGTCTATACTTTTGAAGCAGTTTAAATAGCATGATAAAGTATTTCTTTTTATTTCTGCAGGGTGTAAGAGATGAAAATGTTATTAATAAAATTGAACAACTAGCACACAAAATATCTGAAGTTATTGAGGTGACTGTATTTATTTTTTTGCTCTTTGTCTTCTGGGAAATGTAATGAGAACAAGAATAATGATATTGGACATTGGATATTATGAAACCAGAACTTAAATTATTTGACATGACATACCTGTATATCAGAGTTTAAGACTATCTTTTCATTATCATGACATGTATATGAGAGTTGCTTAATTAAGATTATGACTTGGATATTATGTCTATGAGAATTTGGTTGTCACAACTAGTACTAGTAAATACTTTTGGCTTTGTTGCTATTAATGTCAAATGTCTCCTAAATGAAATTACAAACAAAAACATTTATTAATTTTCTCAGAAGTAAAATATTTTAAAAATTAATTAAAAATTTTCATAAGTTGTGTAGTTTAAAAAAATATTTTTGTTATCTTGTCCACGTTGCAGAATGCTTGTGGAGCTGTTGTTATAAGTGGGTGTGGAACTTCAGGTAGAATAGCATTTCTAACTGCTGTAAGTTAGGGCTGATTTCCTTCATACTTAAGGTTTTTTTTTCAAATTATTTTTCAGTCTCAAAGTTTTTGTATATCACATGCATTAAATATGTGAACTGTTTCTGTTGTAAACAACTGATTGACTCATATACACTTGAAGTTGTAATCAGCTATATTTACAAATAACTAATTCATTGTCTTTCTTTTATAGAATAAATAAACCAATTTAAATTACTTAAAAATAAGATTTTTATCAAAATTTTGACACCTTTTCATTTCAGAGAACTTTTAACAAATACTTAAAATCTAAGGGAGGAAATGAATGTTTTCATTACATCATTGCTGGAGATGACAGGTATTATTATAATAAGTATTTTGGCAACTCTCAACTGTCATAAAATACTAAGATCTTATACAACTTTTAGGTTTCTTTTCAATTTATTACTGTATCCTTATTTTAAAAATTATTAATGGCAATAATAAACTTTGAGATTTCTTTGAATTTTTTCAATTCCATGTACTCTTTTTTTTGTGTGGTCCCCCTAGTATTTAAAAGAAATGCCAGATTTTAAAATGTTTGTTCATTAGAGCCCTGTTCACTTCATTAGAGCTGGCGGAGGATGACCCTGTTGTTGGTGCTTACAGATTACAACAGGTGAAATAATAAGCAAAGTGTGACTAACAATCTAAAACCTAGTCATAGCATCCTTGAATAATATAGGTTCATTTGATAAATGGAATCAACTCTAATCTCCAAATGTATGATTTTTAAAGTTAAATCCTCATTTGGTAGGTTAATATTAGAGACTTGTATATTCCTGGGTTACCTCCAATATAATCATAAGATAAAGGCATATAAAGGTACATATATTTTTCAGTTGTGTCAAAATAAAACTGATGTTGTTTACATTGGAGTTACCTGTGGCCTTTCAGCTCCATTTGTAGCTGGTCAACTGGATTATACTTTGTCTCACCTGGACATTTACACACCTGTCCTCATTGGATTCAACCCAGTTCATCAGGCCAGGTAATTCCCTCTACAAAGATCACTTCCAATTTGTGCTTACAGCAATGAATCATAAATTTAGCTTGCTTAGAGCAGAATTTGAATAATCCATTAAATTATATTATTTCATGTCGATTCAAGGAATCATTTAATGAGTCTCTTTAATAGAGTTGAAATGGAGGGATTTAAAAGATAGATTAGATATTGTAAATTTCTGACAAAAACATTGAAATCATTTGAAGTGTAAGATTGGCCACTAGTTAGATCATACATCAGAATATTTTTAGCTATTCAGCATATCAAAAATTAATTGCAAATTGAAGTCATTGATCTCTTAACTGTAACAGACCTGGTTACTCTTTAAGATTTTGGCGTACTAGCTACAATTTTTATATATATTTTTTACAAATGACCACCAAGACCTTTCAGAACTACCATTTTAGAGACATGGTTAAAAAAATATTCCAGTAGTTTTTTTATAAAAATAAATAAAATAAAAATAGATTCTCGGTTGTTTAAGCCACTCTCCACATCCTGCAGTGAATGGACAGAGAAAAACGATTGGTTGAGGACCATCCATAATTATAATACTTACACACTGAGAAGGGAAGGTTTTAGTGTTAATTTATGAGATTTTTCTTACTTTGGCGCATGGGGAGAGGGAGGAGGTGTCAAAATAAATTTTAAGGCTATAACACAGCCAAATAGCGTAGCGATGGTCATTATCATTGTTTAATTGCACTGTAGTTTCACAATGAACTGGCTAGATACCACAGTTATTTCAAACGGCTTGACCTTGAAGCAATCTATAATTGAATTCGGAGTACCCCAGGGCTCGGTCCTAGGCCCGATGCTTTTCACTTTGTACGTTCAGCCACTGGGTGCAGTGATCAAGCAATTTGACATGCTGTATCACATGTTTGCGGAGAATACACAACTTCATCAATCCATGATCCCCTCTCAGTTCCCTCAACTTCTTAGTACGACACAGAAGGCAGTGGAGTTAGTTAAGCACTGAATGACCATAAACAAGCTCAAATTGAATGATGAAAAGACTGAGCTGATCCCCATTGCCACTGCTCGGAAACAAAAATCTGTAAAATACACAACATCACTTACTCTCTGAGGTATGCAGATTGAGTTTGCTCATACAGTGCAAGACCTGGGTGTCTATTTAGACAGAACACTTACTATGGAAAATCATATTAACATGCTTTGCAACGCAATTTTCCTAGAGCTGCGCAGGATTAGTCACATCAGGCCTTTCTTAACATTAGATGCATCAAAGAGGCTGATGTCTGCATTTGTGTTATCACGCATGGACTACTGCAATGCTCTCATGGTGGGTCTCCCAGCTACGCTCCTGGATAAAATTCAAAGAGCACAGAATAATGCAGCTCGCTTTGTTCTTCGCAAACGCAAATTCGACCATGTTAAAACACTTCTGAGGGAGCTGCACTGGCTGCCGGTCCGCGCTCGCATAGAGTACAAAATTGCAACTTTGTGCTACCGCTGCTTACATGAACTGATGCCATCTTATCTCAAAGCACTCATGACGCCTTATGTACCCACTAGAGAGCTCCGCTCATCCGATAGTGGCAAAATATCGATACTGTGTGTTCGCCTTGAGACTTACGGAAAGCGCACTTTTGCATTTGCCGGCCCAACAATTTGGAACGCACTTCCAGTCGCTCTCAGAAACAGCCAGACACTGGTGTCCTTTAAAACTGATTTAAAAACACATCTATTTCGCAAACACCTTCTGGGGTGATGCTATCTACTATCTTTTTCAGTTAATGTATATTGGCTTGTGTTGCTTATGGTTGAAATGGGATGAAAGACTTTGACTTCGTATGCTCGTATGTAGCTTTATATTGTTGGGTCTGTTTTTAAATGTGGTAAATTTTAGATTGTTTTTATTTCTCTTTTTAATATGGTTGACTTTGTACCGCGCTTCGAGCTTTTGGGGATGAAGCGTGTTTTTCAAATAAACTTTATTATTATTATTTTTAGTAATTTTAAGCCTAAATGCCCTGTTGACAACTTAAGTCAACATTCACTTTTATAACATAATCTTGTGACATAATTATTTCGTTTGGCTGAACCACAGTGAATGCTAAATCCAAAATACTAGCTTTTTATTATTTTGTTTACATTGTTTTTTCCTCCAATTTTAGTGAGCGGCAGTGGTATTTAAAATCTATTTTTAGAACTCACAAAACAAGTATATGATTTTAGAATTCACAAAACAGCAATACAATTTTATTACCCTTATTGTTTCCAACACTCCTCTTCCCGTCTGCGGTAGTTATTAGACTATAATAACATGTTAATGAGATATAAAATCATTTCGCTAGGCTGAATGGATAATGATGTTTATTGAAAAAAACAAATTTTCCAAAATAATCAACCTCAAGGTACTTAGTGGGTTTTGATGTCCTCATTTTGTAAATTAATTTTTCAATAAATTTTAACTTACGTTAAAATGACTTCAAGTTTGAACCATGTTAAAATTCAGAAGCAACTTATTTTCTTACCAGTGACTGACATTTCAGTAATGTGATCAGCACGTAAACCCACAATGACATATTAATTGATATCTATAGCACAATCTTGCAATGGCGTAGCTAGGGATATAGCCACTGGGGGGTGTGCCAAGATTTGTACCAACCCCTTTCATGAATAAAACTCTGGAGTTGGCAGAAAATGCTGCCCCTAAATTTAAAGGAAAATAGTGATGCCCCTAGATACACTTGATAATCATAGCGACCACAGATTGCAATTTAATTTATGAATGTCAGTCTTCTACTTTTGAAGATGACCTTTTTGACACCATCTTAACCCGTACGGATTAGTTATTGTATACATCATACTGTATGTTTATTTATTTAGTTTTATGTATGTATTGCACAATTTTGAGATGGTATAATACTATTCCGAGACAATATTGTACAATTTTGGGTGATGCAGGGTAACCAGATCTGTTGTAATGTAAATTCCTTTTGAAATTATGGCTTTTTTATCCTCAAACTATTGCTAATTTATTTATTTTAAAAATTAAAACAGAAACCTCAAGATTGAAAAATGGGATAAAACATTCTTCCAAGGTAATGTATAGATTTATGCCAAGTTTTACAAAAAACTCTTTGTCAACGAGTTTCTCAATTATTTTGATAACGTTTATTATTAGGATAGCTAAAATTTCAATGTTATCTCAATGCAATGTATTAAATTGCATTAAATTATGAAATTTATATTTTTTTGGTTTAAATATTGATAATGTTTTCAACTGTATATTACAGCTAAAGAAAAACTAAACCAACAATATTGGAGAAAAACAATTTATTTATTACTTAAATATGATTAAAAAATTGTTAATATGGGACTAAAATTTATTTAGTCATTTTAACAATAGTGTTAAGATTTTAAATTGTCCAAATTTAAATTTTAAGTTGTCCAAGAACTTGAAAAAGCAGAGAATTCTTCCAAAGCATATATTTTGAATCCAATAATTGGGGTAAGCATGTATGTTCAATTGTTCATGTCTATTCTATATGCTGCCAATTGATAATTAAATAAGTAACTCATATTATTGTTCAGAGTTATCAAACTAAATTGTCACATACACAGCTTGTTAGAATAAGATGATAAGTCAGGGTTTTTACATGTTTCACTTTCTGTAATAGATGCTGAAAAACTCAAATTGACACGAGATGAATCTGAAACAGTATTTCTTAGTACCGGTAACTCACAAACAATCCATATACTTTCTTAAGAATAAAAATTATGATCACATTACTGAAAAATAGACACACGTCCGCAGTCAAGAAATTACTTCATCCAACACACTGGCCTTTTTTATATCCTGCCAACATGGCTGACAATGTATTGTCCCTCCTTTAATAAGTCATCATTTGCATCCCTACTCTACATGATTTCTTATGATAAAAAAACCTTTGCTGGAATGACAAGTTTAAGGATATCCCAAGACTTTCCAACAGTTGTAAACCCACTTTAATAGTACACAAGCAGTCTAAAAGCACAGCATATTTACTGACCTCTGCATGTTACCAGAGGTAGAGTGAAACTGCCTTTACCAATATTAGGCTCAGCATATGTTGGAAACCATGATAAGGGCTGTCTTTGATTGGTATGAGGTTTGAACTTGGTGAATACAACCTATGATATAAACTATTTTTGATGAGGCTGTATCTAGGAAGTCATGGAAACCCCACCACCACCTTACTAATGATAAAGGCAGCCATTGAAACCCCACCGCCACCTTACTAATGATAAAGGCAGCCATTGAAACCCCACCGCCACCTTACTAATGATAAAGGCAGCCATTGAAACCCCACCGCCACCTTACTAATGATAAAGGCAGCCATTGAAACCCCACCACCACCTTACTAATGATGAAGGCAGCCATTGAAACCCCACCGCCACCTTACTAATGATAAAGGCAGCCATTGAAACCCCACCGCCACCTTACTAATGATAAAGGCAGCCATTGAAACCCCACCGCCACCTTACTAATGATAAAGGCAGTCATGGAAACCCCACTACCACCTTACTAATGATAAAGGCAGCCATTGAAACCCCATCACCACCATACTAATGATAAAGGCAGCCATTGAAACCCCAATCAATGCCTCTAAGAGAAGGACAGCTTTCATCTCTTGAGGCATGAAGAGGGTGAGCCAAGTGTGTTAATTATATCCACTCCTACCCAGTAAGAAGTTATTTTCCTTAAAAGTGTGAGTTACCACAGTGTAGGCAATAGAAATTCTTATGGTGAAAAATGGGGCTGAGATTACCTTCATGACTAGGCTAGCAGCGGAGTCAGGCTCTTTAGACATTCTAAAAGAATAAATACAATCTGTAATTATGCAAACAAAATTCTTTTGTTTAAGATGTCCTTCCCTTTTTACACATAAAAAAAATCTGAAGGTCTTATTCTGACATTTAAAAGAACCATCTTTTTTTTTCTCTATTGTAAATTTTGAATTGATTTAATTTTGTTGTGTTTAATGTAATAAATAAATAAAGGGACGTTTAGTCTGTTATTTTAAGTGGGGTGGTATCATGCAATATAACTAAAAAGTCAATCTTTAAATGATCCTCCTCTAGCCTGAGCCTATAACTGGTTCATCAAGGATGAAATCTGGGACAACCACTAGGATATTGTTGGAAATCTTATCATTGAAAGCCATACACAGACAACTAAGGTAATGCAATTCAAATGTTTTGGACAAGCATTGACAGTAATAAACCAACTGGGGACCTTTTAGCATTGTCTAATCCTTTATTATTGTATTTCACTTTGTGATTTAGGCACGCTCCTATTCTGATATAATCTATATTGGGACTGCCAGTGGGGTGCAGATGATGGGAGTATTATTAGAGTCCCAAGGGAGTGTTGGCAAGAAAAAGTTTGGGAACCACTGGTCTATATTGATACTTTATTGATGCTTAAATATACCAATATCTTCTATTCAATAAATGATAAAAAAATATCTTTCAGCATTTCAGAATTGATTTCCATGTACGAATCTGCTTGTCATAGTGTTTACAAATACACAGATGATCTGGGCTCAATGATAGATTTAGCTGGTGCAAGGTAAGCTAAGTTACTGAAATTGTACCTTTCAGCATCAACTTTCAGCATAAGTGGACTTATGCAAAGTTTATTAAAAATTAAAATTCATATTGAATTAACAAATACATTATAATTTTAATAATATACATGTATTTTAATCCCCCTAAATGGAAGAACCTGAAATAAAACCATTTTTGCGGTGCCATAGGCAAATGGGAATAACTTGTATAGACAGTTGAAATCTTTATGAGCGGCCTTGAAACTGGCCAAAGAAAAAATGTATGCTGAATTTATAGGTGCACAACCATTTGTGGCTTACCAGGACTACAAAAAAAAAGTATACAAAATTAAGCAAACGGAAATAAATCAAAGTAATCATAGTTTCAATATTTTTCACTACAAATTACAAATGTTTTAAAGTCAGTTCATGAGTCAGCACCTTCTATGAAGCTTGTAATTAGAATTTCAATCCTAACTTCTGTCTTTTCTTAAGCTTAACATCTGGTGGGCATGTGTTCTACCTGGGCTGTGATGGGTTTGGCCTTATGGCTATGATTGATGCCTCTGAGTGTCCACCCACATATGGAGCATGTAGGTGTCTACTAACAGCCTATTATCTTAGATTTGTAGGTTCAATGTAGTTGCCAAAAATTTGTATTAAAAAAAATGAAAAGGAAGAAAAAAAGCTCTTAAAATTTAGATTAGTAAACTGCTTAAATATAATCAAACAGATTTAGGGGGTGATTATAAATAACTTTTCAGCACATATATTCTAATTGCTGTTAATGAATAAATCTGATTTTCTTTAAAAAAAACATTAATATTATTTCTCATAAGCTTTCCATGACATGCGTGGATTTGTTGATGGTGGTTTTTCTGCTTTACTGAATAATGATGGGGACCTTTCATCTCAGGTTAGTACACATTAAAATAACTTTTAGATATTAAAACAGTTATTTGTCAGAAGGAAAAGTTTGATGCATCTTTGTAAAACTATAAATCTGAGAAGGGAGAGGAAGCCATAAATTTAGAATCAGCCATTCCTTTCCCAGCTAGGATGTGAAAATAACAACGTCATGATAAATGTCCAAAATAAAATGACCTCTCAAGTTGAAAAACATTTCAGTATTGGATTATTTTCCTTTAAAAAAAATGATTGAAATGAAATAAGTCCTACTCTGTGCTTCATTAGCTTACCTTTAAAACATCTGTTTTATTCAGGGCCCTCAATATAAAATCTCTATTGAAGACTTTGAAAGAGACATTGTTCCATCTCTAGCTTCATCTGATCTGGTGGTATTTTTGGGTGAAGGTAATTTTACACTAAACATATTTAATGATGGATTAGTGACATCAAATTATGATAGTTTCATGTGGGGCCTGGGCCATTCATAAATGTGTGTGACACATCTCATTATGTTTTTGTCTTAGCATGTGCCTCCCACAAGATAATGGTTGTAGAAGTATCCTAAAATCGGTTTCAAGTGTTTTTGTAGTCCTAATAATATTCTGCATTGTAACAAAGAAACCTTCAATATGTGATGTTTACCCCCAGACATCTTGCATAAAGTCTCGGAATCAATTTTCTCAGCACCTTGCAAAAGAGTCTTTGTGTCATGTTACTGGCCCAATGTAAGTACAACACCTGAATTAAGTATAGCTTTTATCTCAATGAACTCTTTTTTTCTTAAGTAAATATTTGACATATTAAATAATTTAATAAAAATATATTTAATGTTATTAATAATTACTAAATATAATTTGCTCCTAAAATCATGAACATTCATGTATGAACATTCATATATATATATATATATATACACAGTGGAACCCCGCTATAACGCGATGATCGTGGTCCATAAAATCGGATCGTGTTAAAAGCGGGGTTGCGTATTTTCGTTCTTAGCACAGCGGAAATCCCTTACGTATTGCTATTTATAGTCTACCGGAAGAAAGTCTCGTTTTCGGCATTAATTTTGATACTAGTTTGAACGTGGTGCGTTTAGGGGCTCATTTTATACGATATTTTGAAAAGTTGTGATTTTTTTCGCTTTAAAAAATGGCTTTCCAAGCAATGGATAAAATTTTCAAAGAACTTATCTAGGCCATTGGAGTAAATGAATTTCAAATTTCGGGAGCCATGCTACGAGCGGGCTATATCCGAATTCACGTTATGGCGTGGCGCATTATAGCGGGGTTCCACTGTTTATATATATATATTGGTTATATAGTAATGCTTACATTTTTTAAAGTAAAAGAGTTCATTAATCAACAGCATAACTTTTTAATAAAAAATTTGGTACGTAGTATACAGTGGCAAGGTTTCAGAATAACAATTTGAATGAAAATGCTACTTTAGTTGGCTCCATTTGGAAACTATCTTAGTTTAATAAATATAAGTGTGCACTGACAGCTGGTATTTAAAATATATAGGTCCATACAAAACACAACACACATTTTTGTCCTATTCATATGCAAACAAAGTATTTGGCACCCTTTACCTTCAAAATTTTCTAACAAATGTGAGTTGATTATCTAAAATTTGTCTGAAAGTCTAATACAGTGGTTCTCAACCTTTTTCACTTGCAAAGCAATTTTAATTTGAGAAGTTCTAATCACTGTTTACTCCCTAATCCTCTCTTGCCTAAGACTCCTCACATACAGTGGAACACACAAACAAAAAGCTTTACCTCCTGGGCTTATGAGTCAGTTTCACACATCTAGTTTTCCATAGCAGATGAAAGCACAATGATAGTTCAAGTATAAATATAACTTTTGTAGATTGACCGGATGGGCCAACAATGTCAAATATTGTTTGTTTTTGTTGCTTGTCAGATATTTGGGGCTCTCAGTATGTCAAGCTATTAGATGGTTGTTACCAAATGGCTTGAGTGATAGATACAGCGTGGTTGTTTTGACGAATATCAAGTAACTCCAATGCCAAGTTAATAATATTGAAGAGTTTATTTACACTGACTATACACGAATAACAATAGTTTTCTCAGCGGACTAATTCCTGCAAAAGGACATTCTCTCTATCCAAATATACTATGGGTCCAGTATACTTCAAGTTCTTGACAAATGACATCTCTCTTATCGATCTCTCTTGATCTCTCCATAAGTCACAGTATATATAACAGTTCATTTTAAAACACTTGCACAGTTTTCAACCAATGGACACAAACAACCTGGGACATGGACTTTCTCTGCATGTAGTTTAAACAGTTCACTTACCCTATGTACTATGCATCACTCTGATATCTTTTTACCAATCAGGGAACACATCCTTGAGACATACTTGTATTTGTATTCTATTAAATTACAGCAGCACACTTGCCTTTAATAACAAAAAATTCACTAATGATTCCATGACTGTTAGGTACCGTAATATGGTTTTGAAAATTTAAACAATACGAAACATAAAACTGAAGAAAAAAATCAGTATGCAAATAAAATCTATACCAAAGCTAGTGATACTGACAATATTCAATGTAATTACACTATTAAATTTCTATAAAAATACAAATTCAAATGTACAGAAACAAAAATCTAGATCAACTGACAGCACAGCAAATAAAATTGCACAAATAATAATTTACACACTCACATAAAGAGTACAATCTTGCAAATATATTATTTCTCGTAAATGTCAAGGAAAATTAACAAAAATCTCTCTCTGCTTGGAAAACTGCAAGTATGCATCTAGAGGGATTAAATCAGAACCATCCAAAAAATAAATTCATGAAATTGTGTAGCCTGATAACATTTTTTAGAACAAATAGAATTTATTCGAACCTAAACAACCTTTGCCCATCAAAGAAGACATAGTTAAAAGGTGTGGCACAGGCCCTTTAATTTGTAATGTCATTATCAAAGCAAAGAGGAGACAAGTGGTGGTGGCTACAACGCTAAAATTAGTCCCACACACATGCCATAATAACAATCTTGACAGCAGACACTACAACTGTTGCACCACAGGGCCACCCTCTCAATATCTATCTTATAAACATAAATTTAGTCTATTATAATGCTACAATAATTAAATATTTTAAATGAATGCAGAAAAAAGCTTGTTGATTGATTTGAAAATTGTTGCAGTTTTACCATTATTTCCAAATTTATCTTCTCAGAATGTTCCCACTACAACAACAAGAAGCTTCAGTCTGTCTCTGGTCTTGGAGCTTGATGTAGCCAAATTGGCTTCTTTGAACTCAGACCCACTCAAGGCCCTTATTACAAAACTACTGGAGGAAGTGTCCCTCAAGTGGGTGGTCAACAACTTGTCCACAGGGGCTCACATTCTCAAAGGGAAAGTCTGTCAGAACAAGATGGTAGATGTCAAGGTCAGCAACAACAAACTTTTCCACCGAGCTGTTGGTATTGTGCAGGTTAGCTTAACAATTCTTTACTTTTTTAAAGTCTTACATTATCCCCGCCTTACCAGTCTTTCTGTGTCTTTTAATCTAACAGAACTTTCTTTGAAGACAGTTTGAATTATATTTATTTTTTATTGTCAATTAGTAATTGTAGTAATTGGAGCTATGGTACACTCATACACCTGTTAGATGCATTTTACCAACTTTCAAACTCCAAATAATCTGATTTGTATCATCATGTCTGATAGACACACTTCGCCTTGTTGAGCTTTTTCCTGCTCTAGGATGAAATTTATTTCCTTCAACTATCGCTTAGATTGAAAAAATTAAAAAACTGTGTGATGCAATCCATATTATTTCGTTCCACTGTTAATTAGTAGGTTGGTCAATATAATTTTTTTATAAAGGGACAAAAAGACAAAAGAAAACAGTAGATTGTCACTACAAATACAAATATATAGTCTAATAATAAAGAAAAGAAATTTGAAGAAATAACAATCTACACTATTAAAACACTGGAAAAAAATTGTAAACCCAAAATTAAAGACCTGTCCACTTTTATCATGTTCATGGCTGTCACTATTGAAATATTATTTTTAATGTATTAGCTATGCATTGTCTATTTCAGAATTACAGCAGCCTAAGTGTGGAGGAGTGCACGACAATCCTCTTAAAGTCCATCTACGACACAGACAGTCTGACAGCCGACCAAGAGTCTGCATCAGTTGTGGCGCACATTGAAGTTGCTTCTTGCAAGGACATGGTACCTCTTCATTTATTTTGAATTGCCCAATAATTATTTAACGTAGTTTTAAATTATTTTTAATTTTTAAACATGAGTGTTCTTCAACCTGAAAATGATAATTATTCAATAAAGCAAGATAATTTTTAAGGTGAGACATTATTAAAAATGTATTATCTCCTCAGGTTGTGCCCACTGCTATTGTAATTGCTTCCCTTGGATGCAATGTTTCTGAAGCAAAAGAGATGCTGAAAAGCCAACCAGTTCTACGCAAACTGGTCTGTGCACTGGTTAACTAAGGGGTAAATTCCACTACTAACAGTTTTGTTCATATATATATTATATTATTAAGCTTTTTTATTGATGCAAAAAAAAAACACGCACTACTGCTTGTTTTTAACTGGAAAGAAATTGAAACTCATATAAAAATTATTGAAACAATTGATTCAAATTTAATTATTCTCATGAGCAATTAATCAGATTTTATTATTTATTCAACCCATAACTTGTTGAATGATGGGATATCTGCTCTGTATTTGTGTAAACATTTATACAATGTACTTGGTTACACTTAATCAGACTCAACATTTTTAACTCTTTACTGGCTGTTCATACAGATTGGAGATATAATGGCTCTGATAAATTAGAGTATGTAATAACACTGACAAAATAATGTTAATTGTGGAAGCTAGACTATGTGATAGTTTCCATGTAATTGTCAGTTGTGGCAGCTGCTATATGTGATTAATGCAACATGATTGTTTATTGTGATTGGAAAAATATGTCATTACTGAAAAATAATTTTTAGTTGTGACACGTGTCATATGTATTAATGCAACATAATTGTTAATTATGGTACCGTAGCTAGAATTCGAGTGTGATTACTGCAATATAATTATTAATTGTGGTGGTTAGAACATTTTTTTACTGCAATATAATAGTTAATAATGGCAGCTAGAATATGTGATTACAGCTATTATATTGTTAATTATGACAGCTAGAATATATAATTACTGCTATTATTTTGTTAATAATGGCAGCTAGAATATGTGATTACTGCTTTTATATTGTTAAATTTGACAGCTGGAATATGTAATTACTGTTATTATTATATTGTTAATTATGGCAGCTAGTATATGTGATTATTGCAACAAACTAGTCAAATTTTTTATCTGCTCCTTGCATTACACTAATTAGTCTTAATTTATGTTTATTTAAATGGGTTGTCCATTAATTATGTCAACAACAGGGGGGAAAAGGGGAGGGGGGGCCGTACAGAGTTTGAATTCAGTTTTTGACAAGGGGGGAAAATGAACATCAACAAATATATACATTCAGCAGCGTATGAAGGAGTCAAAAAGGCAGAAAATGCGCAAATCGAAGCCCTTTCAACAAATAGAACAATACGGAAGGCCTTTTATTATTTTAAATCTAACCAGGCATCAATTTTCTCCTGCAAGAAATGCAGTCAAGATTGTCATTACAGGATTGGTCTAGTTAGCCACCCGTTGAGGTGTAGGCCTACATAGCTACTCCATTTTCTCATGAAGATGGAAGGATGCCATATAGATATATATATACACACATATATATATATATATATATATATATATATATATATATATATATATATATATATATATATGTGTGTGTGTGTGTGTGTGTGTGTGTGTATATATATATATATATATAAATTATAAATAGGTCTATATAATATATATATATATATATATATATATATATATATATATATATATATATATATATATATATATATATATATATATATATATATATATATATATATATATATATATATATGTGTGTGTGTGTGTGTGTGTGTGTGTGTATATATATATATATATATAAATCATAAATAGGCCTCAATAACAATTCTAATGGCTATAAAAATTGAATAATTTGAAATTGTCAGACTTGCACCTGCTTCTCAATTTATTTATCTTGTAATCAATACAATTTTAAAAAGTTGCTACCAAAAGATGGAGATAGGTCATGGCAATTATTGAAGAAAGAGAAAATTAATCAGTTACTATATGCTAATGCAAAAGAGGAATATTTGGCTTATCAATGTGAAGAAGAAGAAAAAATGAGGAATAAATTTACTTACAATAATGTTTAGTTCTTATTAAGTCTTATAAATTCTGAAATATAAGATTGACTCTAGTCATAGATTCTAGTTGTTTCAAATGTAAAAATGTGTCTAAGAAGTGAAAACAAATGTAATTAATGTATTTCTATTTCTTAAGGGTTAAAAAAGATATGTATTAATTTACTTATATTTTTGGGGGTGGGGGTGTTTTTCAACAATTGTTGACATAATTAATTTGTGGGGAGGGGGGGTCTTTCAAAGTTTGACAGTTTTTGACAAAGGGATTAAAAGTGACCTAAAATTTGTTTACATTATTAATGAACAACCCCAAAGAGGATCTTTCAAACTTTCATAAATCTTGACATTTTGTGAAATGTCTTAAAAGACACCTCATTCTTAAGTGGGTCAATCATTCAGGGACTTTATTTAACTTGATCAAAGTCTTATGAGTTATTATTTATTGATGATAATTCATTTGTGATAATAAAAACTAATATTAAAAAATTCTTAATTGGTAAGTCATTTTGTTTATATCAATTTATTTTTTTCAATCCTTACATTTCAGTCAATTTTTATTCTCTTTTGTTCACCTAAAGTTGTTCAATTAAAGTTATTTAACTGCTATCAAACTATTAACTATAGCACTTGTTATAGCAATGGTAAAGATTGTTCATCAGTTGCATGTTCCCACTCTAAAACCCATGTTCAGGTTAAGTCTATCAAACTCATCTGATCAAGCCAAATGGGTCATTAACAGTGAGAGATATCAATCTTTGCAACACGAGAACACAAGATACATTGATTGATTGATTGATATGATATTTTTATTGTGCTGTATCCATGCCCCTTAAGCATGCTCACTGCGCTCTGGTCGTCCGAAATCTATTTAAACAAAAAAGTTTTTAATTTTTTTCTTAAATGATTTTTATCATTTACAATTCCCCTCAAAGATTGAGGCAAACTGTTCCATAATTTTGGCGCTATCGCTTCAAAAGAGCGCACTCCGTAAAACTTTTTTCTGTATTCATCCACACAAGGAACACTCTGTAAGTACTGTGATGAAGACCACAGGCTCTTCAAAGATACATGTTTATTAATCAGTTCCTTGAGATATTCCGGTGCTGAGCCATCTATGCAGCTGTACGCCAGGGACAGAATTTTGTAGTTAATGTGCTCACTCACAGGATAAGGGAGGCCTCCTGCAGAACCTGTGACGGAATATGTCATGTGACTGTTGTTTATCTGCAAGTAAAATGGATCAACTTCAAAGAACATCCAGTTTGTCATGCCTCTAGTTGTCTAATTCACTTCTGTCTTTAGTATTTTGTAATGAAGCCACACAATTTGAACTTATAAAAGACATTTTAAACATATTCAACTACACCCTGTCCCACAACACCTGAACTCTACAAGTTGCATGTCAGTTTTACTTCACTTAACATTTTTTGCATACAATTATATGTGATATCTGGCTTTAAAAATTTTCAGTGAGTTTTAATATTTTATAACTGTTTTGATAATATTGTCCTCCTTCATTAATCCTAATATTTAATTTTAAAATTTTGCTTAGAATTTATTCAGCAATAAATAATGGACAATTTGGAATTTGTCAATCATTTCAACAAAGACAGTTATATTCCTCTTTTTATCGAAAGGCGTATTTTCCCAGAGCGGGAGTTTTTTCGTGGTAGGGATGACCAGTTGATCACTTCTGCCATGATAACCTAAGTGAAAATCCCAATTAGGATAGTTGAAATGAGAGAAGCGTTTCTATGATTTTTTCCATATGTCACCATTAAGTATAAGCTGAAATGGCATCAACACAGCAAATTCTGTATTAAAAAATTAAACCAAAGACTTTTTCTATCTTAAAAAATTGTATTATTTCAGGATTAAAAAAACAAGTTAACTACAGAGAAACAATTTAAAGTTTACTTAACTTCAGTTTATTAAACTTCAGTATTACCTGCTATTGTGGGAATTCATTGTCTGAAATCAAACATTGATAAAATAGACTCATTAAGAAAGCTAGTAATTTCATACAAACTGAAAATCCTTTACTTGAAGAACTATTTAAGAGAAATGCTGTTGTAAAACTAAAATAAATTTGAAAGGATCTGCAGTAATCAACAACATCTTTCTTTATTTTGGGCCAATGAAAGACGACATTATTTTGTGATATGTTTTGTTGAATCCCCCCATTGCCTGAAAGTGGGGAGTCATGGGCTAATTTCAGTATTTCGTTCCGGAAAGTGATAGGAACTAATTTTTGATGAACTACTCTCTATACTTCGTCAGCTCAGGCGTATGGATGGAGGTTGAACTTTTCCCTTAAGTATGACATCTTGTATGCAAATAGTATACTAGGAACCTCATCAGCCTCTTCTTATGTCTCACGGGGAAATGGTGTCGGTGGGCCCTCGAGCGCGAGCTCATAATGCCCCCCCCCCCTTTTGCACCCCTCTTGTATCAAAGCGTTCTCTCGAAATTTAGCAATGTCTGGCTCACTCTTCTGTTCTTCGAGAATTTTCATCCGATTTGTGTCGCTGAGGCTTAATGATAATTGTTGTTCCCAGATTTTTATCAGTGATATCAGGATTGGCTTTTGAAAACGTTTGTAGTAATCTCTTGTTCGGAGATCTTGGTAAAAGCAGATGCTGGACATAACTCTGGATCTTCGACTTGAGAGTCATTCAAATAAGGTTCATGAGTAACGGTTCAAATATTACCTTACCACCAGTTAAGTCGTTTCCTTGAAGCAATGAGTTGCCGTCCAATGGTAACGTTGCTCGGACACACCCTTAACCACAGGTCCAGATAATACATCTAACTTGAGATCGATAAGATGTAAAGGTACATCAATTCAACCCTGCTGTACATCTCGAAATAGGGTGTTGCTTCCAGTAACAGTGGATTTACCCAAGCGAAGTATACCCTCAAGTAGTAAGGTTTGTGAATCATCTGTGACTCTTAAAATCTTGATAGGTTGTTGACAAAAAGCATCATCTGGCAGTAAAACAAATCCTTTCGATATGAAATTTGTAAAATCTTGAATATTAATAGTTTCTGATGTAGAAGTGTGGACCTTGGTTGGAAAACTCTCGTCGGAGTCTTAAAACATCTGTCAGAGTTAAAAAGAAGTAAAACAGGGCTGATTTGTCAAAAAGTGCCCCCAGTCCTTGGTAGAACCCTCTCTGGAGGTAGTCCTCTTCTTGCTGACAAACTCATAAATCTAGCAGTCGAAGCAGGAACTTGACTGGAGTCAGTAAAACTAGCTTACAGTGTGGAGTAAAACTGTTTGATGAGTCGTGAAAAACCTCTGTAAAGTTTGTATGGACATCTGGAGAAGAGCTTAAACTTAAACTTTTGGGTATTTGAATAAAAAATTATTTTTTTTTTCCAACAATCATCCCTCTTACGACCTTCCTTTTTACAATAGGCGTATATGTCTCTTGGACTTATTCTTTTGTACCAGACGTGTGTTATCTTTGTTGAGGTGTGCGATAAGTTGATAGTGTTGCTCTATGGTGCTCGTCTTGTTTTGAGTCAAACTGGCTCTTGGAGAAATGATGTGAGATGGTGAAGTTATTAGCCAAGACTGCTGCCTTATGCAGATCATGTTCGCGAAGGTCTGCAATATGTGTCCATGCGTCCACACGAACCCAAATTGTTAAACTCGTCCATCAGTACGAGATTCTTGAATTTATTGAAGTTTTTTTTTCCCGTGTCGATGTTCTTTGCCTGAAGCCACTTTTACGGGAGTCATCCCTTGTCACGCAGAAACTCGACGTGAGTTTGACAATCATGTTTCAACAACTCGCAAAATTTTTACGGAATGCTTCGGGGACGCATTCTTAAGTATTAATGACTTTACAAGCTTATATTCTTCAACTAGGTGGACATCAAAACTCTAACAGTGAACAGTCTTTTAAAAAGAAGAATGTGCTTCTTCTATTCATAAATTGTTCGCCATCGAAATTGACTCTTTTCGAGAACATTTGTCTAACGTCTCTACTGATGGGTTATTTAAATCAATGTCAATTTCGACACATGTTAATCTATATATATATATAAATGAATGTTTGTATGTCTGTCTGTCTGTATGTCTCGTATGCGCTCCTACACCATTCATGCGATTGCGACA